TCATTGAAATGGTTTTTTAAAGTATAATCAATATTTTTTGTTTATTGAAAATGGTACTTTTTAAAGTGAAAACCAGGCTGTTCAATAAATCAAAGATTGAGAACTTAATATTTCAATAAAAAATGGAACTATCAAGAAAATGTGGAAACTTTCACAAAAAAAGAAAATTCAATATAGTCAACATTTTTGCATGAAAAGTTTCATTTTTAATTATTGTTTTTAACAAAAAATGTGCAAAAATTGTCAAGCTGTTCTAATAATTGTTAGAATTAGACCTGCTTTCCTGCTACCAATTGATATATTTCAGCAATGCATAGAGAGAGGAATCCTGGATGATTTTAGATGCATCACTGGCAGCCCCGTGTGGTCATTTCTTGCTATTGCATCTAAAATCAATAATTTGCTAAAATGCACTTTATTGTCAAACTTTCCAGGAAGTTTTCATATTTTAGAAAGAAGCTAAAAATGAAACACAATTTTAATGCATTATAATTATCTCCATGTTACAAATATTAGCAATCTGACTTTAAAATTATATAGCCCTTCAACTTTAGAACACATTATGAGACTACACTAGTCTTCTCCAGTAAAATTATTTGAGTTAGAGTGAACATTTAATGGATCTTGAAGCCCATCCACTGCAGTGTGGCTCATTTAATCTCATTAGCGCTAAGGGATTCCTGACAGAAGGACATTGATTCCAGCTTCTTCAAACTGCATTCACTGCTCTTATGGAAACATCCTATGAGATTTAACCAGAGTTGGTCTTTGTAGAAATGGTATCCTGGGTGAACTTATATTTTGGTGCCCTTTCCTGCTCTCTGTCCCACCATAACCACTGACTCCGATCACCTCAGGGCCATTCCTATACTTCCCATGGAATGTCCACAGGAAAGTCCATTTAATGTAGATGCGCATCTCCCATGGTCCATTGTGAGTCAAGTGTTCCTTGATGAGCCATTTAATGTGACTAGTCCCTTCAAGATGTGCTGGCTAACTCTCTTGTGGGCAAACATTGAAATACAGGTATAGAGCCAATACCCACCACTTCAAATTCAAAACGGATACATGCATGCAAATAGCATAGCCATATTCAGCAAACCATAATCTTTTCGTAGACATCTTCCGTGCCTCATTTTGTACAAGATTTGTGGCAAACCTATCACCGTGGCTGCAATAAAGTACAAGCTCATGTTTTAAATCAGATAACATCAGAGTGTGCAACTGCTACAACTGACAAATTCTTAGGCCACTGTCAGCAGAAGTACAGAAAAAAGGATGGCATGGCATATATGGTGTATTGCCACTCTGACTTCTGTGTTGCTGCAGTGACTTGTGGTGCCTGGTGCTTGGCTGTGGCTCAAGGCAGGCTTCTTGCTGTCACGTGAGGGATGCATCTTGCCAGAGCCCACACCCTGCCTGTATCCCTTAGCCACCCCTGGCTCACCATGAGCCTTTTGACAGGAAGTACCAAGCAGTAATAAAACTACTGTTATTGTACAAATGTGTGTGTGAGCATGTGTGAGAAAGAAAGAATCAACGTATGTGTGAGACAGAGAGCGAGCCAGTGTGTGTGTGATTATGTTGGGGGGATTGTGTGACAGAAGAGTGTGTTCGGGAGTGTAGATGAGATATTCTGTGCTGAGACTGTGAGAGGAATAACCCAGTATGGCTGATCTGTGTGAGAGGGAGACTCTGCCTGTGTTAGGGAAGTGTGAGAGACAGAGAGCGCACAGTCACTTTAAGACCATCCTGCTCTTTCCCCTGAAGTTTTGCTTCCCCTCACCCCATCCCAGCCCCCACTAGAGATGGAGCAGTGCAGGCCGGAGAGGTCTCCATTCCGCTCCACTCCGGGATGCACTGCTCTGGGCTCTGTGGGCGTGGGGCAGAGATGGAGCACTCAGCTGGCCTGCTGAGAGTGAGGCCAAGAGGGCAGCGAAAAGCCCACCGGCCCACTGCAGAGGAGGGGCCAGAGACAAGAGGAGTCTGGTCACAGCAAGGGAAGGGAAGCCCGAGCCCCTTGCAGCACCCCCCGTCTACTGTGGACTGGGCTGGGTCCCATATTGCCCAGCCCTAAGGCCAATGGTGGATTTTACATGGTTCTAAATTCCATTCTGTAGATTCTAGAAAGAATGAGGTCTTTTCTATAGATTTTTAGAATCACCCCCTACAATTTTATGACAAGGATAGCAATCTCTGTTTAAGGCTTTTGATGGTTCACAAAACCATAGAGAAGAAGTAATTTTGTACTGAATTTCACAGGATATTTCCATGAGAACAAGAACCTAAAGAAACCACTTGTTTGTCTCTTTCTATGAAGACTCTGGTTCAACTGGAGTTTTACTTTACATTTTCTGCCACTTCCCCTCCTCTCCCCTTTTTGGCATTCAATCCTTCCTGATGCCACAGAAATGAAAGAAACTTGGTAAAGTGTATGCTTAACAACCTGATTTACACATAGTCATTACTCCATCAGAGAGACGGGGAGAGAAAAAGAGAGAGAGAATTCAGGAAAGATGTAGGAGTGGAGAAGGCCACATGCATGAAAATATAATCAACGTGACTTTCTGGGAACACATTGGGAATCTGGACAAAATGTTATAAGAAAATTAAAAGGAAGGATTTGAAAGGGAATTTTCATAAATGTGGAAAATGGCCAGATATATCGAATAGAAAATGAAAATTCATTTACATTTACTTGTTTCCTTGAATTCTTCTTGCTTACTTCTAACATACTCCTAATGATCAACAATATTTGCATTTCAACTCGACTTGGCTCCTTCTCAAGTCACCGTCTCCTTTACTCATGTTCCTGGAGGCTAGCTTCATCAATGGCTATTAGCCAAGAAGGTCAGGGAATCAGCCTCATGCTCCAGTTGTCTCTAATCTTCAATTGCCTGAAGCGGGGACTTAAGGACAGGGGCATGAATCACTCAAGATTATCCTGCTGTGTTCCTCCCCTCTGACGCATCTGGCACTGGCTACCTGGTCTAACCCAGTATGGCTGATCTTATGTTACTCCAATGGTCCCCAACATGGTGCCCATGGGCGCCATGGCGCCTGCTGGGACATTTCTGTGTGCCTGCCTAGTGACCAGGGCCAGCCCAAAACATTCTTGCATCCCAAGCCCCAGGTGCATGTATGACCCCTGCCCCAGGCACCCAGCAGCCCCAAAAGGTTGGGGACCACTGTGTTACTCAATACAGCAGTGAAGACTTAGAGTTGAATTTGTGACATGTCAAAATGCTGCTGTTAAACAAATGGACTGTTATGAGTGGAGTTTGTTCGTAAATCAGGAAATGGAATGGAGCTACTGAGAAGGTCTGTTTCTTTAAATAGGGTACCCAAAACTTAGGTAAGCACAGAAGTGGGAAGAAAGGAACAGGAGGATGTTGGAGGAGGAGAAAGAAAGAGTGGAAAAAAGAAAAGTGGCTAAGTAGAAAGTTAGAGAGAGAATTAGGCCTTGGTAAGTGCTGTTTATGGATGATATTATATGGCGTATCGGTGAAACTACCAGGAGAAGAATTCAGTCAGTGACCTCCTGTTTCTATTGTTTAGGCCCCTGTTACAATAAAGTGGTTAAGCATGTAGATTCACATGTATGTCTGGACCAGAGCCTTAAGGCTTGTCTACACTAAAAATGCTCTGCTGGAATAGCTATACCACTTATAGCTATGCTAACAAAGTCCCTAGAGGAGACGCAGCATAAGTAACAAAAGGAATTCTTCTGTTGGTAGAGCTAAACCACTTCTCCAATGGACATTTGTCATGTTTACAGAAACCCTCGTCTGTCAGGAAAGCTATGTGGGCTGTGTCAGTGTGTGGTCCGTCCGCTCCCCTCCCTCCCCCCTCAATGTACTCCTAGCTGATATAGCTATACCCGCAAAGCTTTGTAGCATTAGACAGGGAAGGTCTAAGTCTTTCAAATGGAGCAGGAGAGTTCTTTTAAAGAGGATCATCACTGCTAAGGCTGTCTTACTGACACAGAATGTGTCAAGGTTATCACTTACTTAACCTTCAAGTATTCCCTTAATTGTCCTACTAATAATGAACAGAAAAGAAATAGCCATAAAAAGGCCATAAAATTATCTCATCTGGGCCTGATCTGAAGGCCAATGAAATCAGAAGTGGGTGGACTTTCCATTGACTTCAATGGGCTTGGGGTCAGACTGCAATTGCATTTGTCAACTTGCAATTGTTAGTTACCATTTGCTTATTATGTGGCAACCCTTATTTCCCCAGTATGGTAAAAATGAAGATTTATATGGTTGCTGCTAATTATTATGACTGAATCTGAACTTATTCAGTTCTAGAAATAAAGTTGCTTGGTTGGGTGGGTTCTTTTAAAGAAGGTTGGTTCGGTGTTGCCAATTTCAGCTTTGGCACTCCTCTGAGAGGATCAGCCCTGGTTTTCCGGATGACAACAAAAGGTTAACCTTAAAAAACAACAAACAGTCTAGTAGCACCTTTAAGACTAACCAAAGATGTAGCTGGTATCAGGAGCTTCTGTTGGCAAAACCCACTTCTATCCCTCTGAAGCAATAAAAGGTTAGGAAGCCCCTTTTCTTTTCTGGCCTTAACAAATACCATCTTGTGGTATCCACATCCATTCAGAGCTTCTGCAAAGATAGATTTCTTGGTTCCTTGTTTTGACCACATCTCTTATCACTGAGTTCTCAAATCACCCCTCTCCTACCTCAGTCATGCTAATGATGGCAATGCTTTTTGGCCATTTGTGGAAATTTTCCAACATACACATTTGAGATTTCTCCCAGACTGTCTGTGAGTGTGGGAAGTGCTTCCAGTAATAAGCTACAAAGTCAATATATTATCCTTGTGCCAACACCTTCCTAAAAATCACTTCTTCTTGCACTGGCTAGGCAGCTGGCTTGCTTTACTACTGTTTATCATATGGATCAAAGCCATCTCGTCTCACTGTTGTGTTCCCCTCTCTATCTGGGGAACTTATATGGCTACTACCTCATTGTCATAGTATTTGAGAGCCTCATAACCTTTAATATGTGTCCTTGGAAACTGTGTGGTATTATCCTCATTTTACAGATGAGGAATAGACACACGTGGTCATACAAAAAGAGTCTATCATGGAGGAAGGAGTTGAAGCAAGCTCCTCAATATCTTATGCTAGCACTCAGACCAGAGGATTGTGCTGTCTCTCTGAATTATTCCACTTGTTGTTTCTTCTCTGGCACTTAGATTAGCTGTAAGCACATCTGGAAAACCATCTTTTTGTTATGTTTGTGCAATGGGACCCTGATCAAGACTACTAGCTGGTATCAAAATAGAAATAGTAGATATATATTGTATCTTTTCCCACCCAATTTATTATACCTCTTGTACTTCACCAACCACACAACATTCTCATCAAGAACAAAGTAAGACAATGAAAAAGAACAAAGTAAGACAAAGTAAGACAGTCAGATTATCCAGCCCTAGATGTTTAGCTCATTAACGTTCCTGCCTATGGTTCTTCCTGCTTCGGATGGTGACCTCAGTTTTGGCCAGTTCTTTCTTCCTACATATTTTTTCTCTCTCTCATTGTTTCCTTTTGCTTTCCAGTTTCCATTTCCTTTAATCTGATACCTTTTTGTGGCAATCTTCACTTTAGCTTCTTTTGAGTTAGTAACTTCTTTCCTTTGGGGAGCTTTCGTTTCAGTTTGGACTTTATTGTCTTGATTTTTCTCAATTTCTTTTGTGTTTCTTGTCTCTTTGCCACCTGTGATTTCTTGCCCCCCTTTTCCTTCCCCTCTTCAAGTGGCTTCTCTTTCTCGCTCTGCTTGTCGTTTGCCTCTTTTGATACTTTCTTTTTCTTCCTTTTGAGCTTCAAAGCTGTAACACGATACTTTATTGGTTAAGATTCACAAAGATATTATAAGATTTTGTCTTTTATAAGGACAAGAATAAACCCAGCCTAACTGTGTCTACTATAAGGGCTAGGAACCCTGGAGTTAATTTTTCATGTGTTTCAAATGATGGAAGCAGCAGGCAAAATGTACTCAAAACCATGGAGTTGAGTAAATTGCATATGAGGATCAGCAAGGCTGACAGCCATTGCGGGCCCTAGAACAAGGTATGGTGCAGATTGGCTCTGTACCGTGGAAGGGTCTGGTATGCCTCCTTTTGCGAGAAGTAATGGAAGACAACAGGAGCATTTGCTCCCATTGGCGTCCCACTGTGGGGATGCCACCAAACTTGGCTTAAGGTAAGCTGAATCCAGCTATGTATTCTACACATCTGGATTTGCACACCTTAACATGAGTTGCTAGGTTTAGTGTAGACAGCCTCAGACAATAGGTAGCTATATTAGCTATGCCTCCTTGTGGCCTCAGTCTCTGTTGATGGAGTGCTAAAAATAGTCACTTAGCCACTGAAAATGATGCGAAAGCAAGTGAACATGGTCTTGTTTTACATCAATCTGGTCTGCTTACCACAACGTCAGCAGATGGAAGATAGGAATGGGTCTAACTCCTAAATCCTAGGGCAAAATATTATGAAGCCAGTGAGCCTGCCTGAAGTTGGTATAGAATGAAAGTGAAAGACCAAGTCAAACTCCAGGGGTGCTACAGAAGGCCCATCTTGACTGTAAATTTAGAATCACAAAGACTCAATAAGGGACTTAAGGACATGCTAACGCAATGCATGTGAGTAGTCTCATTGGCTTTAATGGGAATATTCACATGCTTAGAATTAACCATGTGTTTAAGTACTTTGATAGACTAAGGCCTAAAATAATGTGATCTCATAGGGTGTGTCTAGATCACAGGGTTTTTTTTTTTTCTAAAAAAGTAGCCTTTTTTAAAAAAAAAAACTTCCCCTGAATCTAGAGGGCTGCTGCATTCTTTTGAAAGTAAATCGAAAGAACACGGCATTTTTTCGACCATGGAAAACCTCGTTTTACGAGGAAGAATGCCTTTTTTCGAAAGTGCTCTTTCAGAAAAAAGGCTCTATGTAATGCAAACTGTGCTTTTTTGAAAGAGAGCATCCAGACTCCTTTGCTTTTTTGCTTGCTTTTTTGAAAGTACTGGTTGTCGTCTAGATGCTCTTTTTCGGAAGAGGCTTTTTCGAAAGTATCTTTCAAAAAAGCCTCTTTCGAAAGAGGCTAGCAGTCTAGACATAGCTCCACTAACAGAGCCCTGGTAATAAATAATGGAAACTCATTTGGGTTTTAGCTGTAACCCTGTGAACAGTGTGATGGTTATCGTATAATATACGGTGATGTTGCTGTACTAACTGGGGGTATGTCTACACTGCAGAGTTTTTTCAGAAAAATGGCAGTTTTTCCAAAAAAACCTTCACTTACGTCCACACTGCAATCATGTTCTTTCAAAAAAAGATTGAAAGAACAGAGGGCTTTTTTCGATATTGGTAAACTTCTTTCTACGAGGAAGAAGCCTTTTTCCGAAAGAGCTCTTTCGATAAAAGGCATGTGTGGACTGGGAAGAGGGAGTTCTTTCGAAAGAAGAGGAAAAAGGAAAAAGCACAGATGCCCTGGTGGCTACTCCATTCATAGTAATCACAGCTTACATGCGAGATAGTGTCCATTCAGTGTGGATGCTCTCTTTCGAAAAAGCAGATCGCTTTTTCGATGCGCTTTGGCAGTGTGGACACTCTCTTTCAGAAAGAAGTTTTTTTGGAAGCTATCTTCCGGAAAAGGATGCAGGATTTAAGAAAATGATGCAACTTATGGATTGAATAGCAGAGCTGGCTGGAAGTTTACCAATGGAATGGCTTTCCATTGGAAAATGACGTTTGGTGAAATGTAGCAATTTCAACAAAATTCCGATGGAAAGCACAGAATTTTCTTGATTGGTTTCCTGCCTTACCCAACCCCTCAGCTTCCTTGGGCTTCCACGCCAGCATGCCAGATGGACTTGCCCTCTGTGCCTGGCCTACCCAAACAGCTCAGCACCCAGGCATACCCCAAACTCTGGGCTATTTGAGCAGTCCTACAAAAAGGTCAAAAGGAAATGTTGTTTCTAATTTTCCCAAAATGAAATTTCAGAACCTCTCTTCCACAGGAAGTTTTCAAATTTCATTTTTCATTCTGCTTCAGTCCATTTTTTAAAAAATTTCTGAATGTCTTCCAAAATGGGAATTGCGGGTTCTTTATAGCTCTCTTCAGTAACAATGGCCCAACAAGCTGTGGCTTTAGACTTCATAAAAGTTTGCAATGCATGGGAGCCCACAGCATGGTCACCTTTCCAATGGAAGAGAGTAGGATTTCACAGCTCAGAACAGTCCATCTGAAAAACAGGATGGGGTTGCTAACTTTGCTTCAGTGAAAAGAGGGGACCTAACTTCTTAATTAGACAAAAAGTCATACCTGAAAAATCAAATTTTTTTAACTTCCCAGTTCTTGATTGCCATCCACGGCATTCTTCACGCTGGCTCCATGCTTCACCTCCTCGGGCGAGATTCCCAAATGGAATCTGTTTAGAAAGGATGTTGAAACCAAAAGCCATTGTTTTCTCTTCCTTTGTCCATTTGCTAGCAGGAAAAACAAATGAGTTTATCAAATGTAAATCAACAAGTAGCACAAAAGCTGTACAGCCGGTCCCTGAGTTGCGAATGGTTGACTTACGACCCTTTGCAATTACGACCGAAGCTGTCATAAATGGCAGACCCCGAGTTACGAACATGATCCGCACTTACGAACAGCACAGTCGCATGTAACTCTATGGGCTCCGACTTATGAACAAACCAAGTTACGACCAATTGCTTGGTTCATAACCGGTTCATAAGTCAGGAAGAGGCTGTATTAAAAGGGGGATTTTTCAGGGCAAGATTTAATCGAAAGATCCTGATCTTGCCTAGGGTGATTGACCCACGTTGCAAATGGATTAAATGAGGTATTTCTCCAATGCATGTGAACTTTGAGGCCAGGTCTACACTAGATTGGGCAGATTGGCTTAAGGTACGCAATTCTACCTATATAGAATACGTCACGGGAGTCGGCTTATCTTAAGCTGAGCTTGGTGCTGTCCCCACAGTGGGAGGCTGACTGGAGCGAAGGTGCCCATCAGCTTCCCTTACTCCTTGCAAAAGCAGGAGTACTGGACGCGGGAGGGGGTGCCCTCCGAGTTCAATTTAGTGAGTCTTAACTAGACTTGCTATATTGAACTCTAGAAGATTAATTGTGGCAGCATTGATCTTCCACAGAGTGAAGACAAGCCCTAAGGGCTGGATTTCCAGAAGAGCATAGCTTCCAGTTCATCAAAAATGAGCCGAGTTTCAAAAGAAAGGTAGCATCTTGGGTGCATTTTGCTGGTCCCTTTGGAAAACCTAATCATAAATGTCACACGGGGACCTGGGGGAAGCTGAGCTCTTGCTGAAAATTCAATTACAATTGTTAGTATTGAACACTTGAAAATCTGGCTCTGTATGCCACGCCCTCTGGCACCAGTAGTTACAAGGGAGGATCTGGAAGAAGCAGCAAGTATTTCTAGGTTGCTTCCCCATTCTGCAGCTTTTACTCACATGTCAGATTTTTACTCATGCATGTAGTGCAGGTCTAGCCCTGAGTGCTGCAAATGTCTGGTTTAGTGTATGAAATCAAGTACTTAGAATTTTCTATCTCATGTTTAAGAAGATGAGAACTTCCACTTATTTTAATACTGTTCCTTCCAATTGTTTTTATCATCATACTACACTTCCAGAAGTCTGCTGTGTTTGATAAGCTGGGGCTGTAGTTGGTAGGTCTTTTGTATTCACATCCTTGGATCATTTTTCCACTTAATTCTTCCTAAGGATCATCAGTTTGTTTTCTGCAGAAAGCCAGCTTGTCACAGACCATAAGGTATGATGGAACTACAGGACCTCTAGTCAATTAAAATCGGGGGGGATCATTTGATCTGTTTTTAAGTTTACTACAAATAAATTCAGCCTGGACTGATGTCCCTGACAGTGGGAAGTAGGACTTTTCTTGTATTACCTTGTTTAGCACTGCCATTGGGGTAGCTGAGAAATGCTCTACAGAGTAATTCAGGGCCAGACACCATAGTCGCTACCATTAATGTAAATCAGGATTAAGTGAAACTGCTCCAGTATAAAATTGGTGTATATAGAAGCATAATCAAGCTCTGTGACTCCCTTTTATGCTGCTAACAGGGGCTCAGTTCCAGACACTAATGGAAAAAATTCACACCTTAATCCTTCAAAATAAAATGTGAGTGGGAGTCAAGTGGCGCACAAACATTTAGAAAACTATCATTTCTGATCTACTCTGCTAGCTCTCTGAGGAGGACAAGAATTGAGATGGTTCCTGCTGGGAGGCTGGAGAAAGGGATGGCACAATGTATTCATTGTCCTAGGTTTTTTGAAAAGACACATTCTTAAAATCATAATCTGGGAAGGCAGCAGCATAGCTGGGCAACCAAACTTCCATGCAGGTTTATACTTTGTACCTGAAAATCATGCCAAAAAGAAGCACTTTCCGGGGGTCTAGTGTTATTCTACTCTGCAATTTTATTTTACTCCCTTCTTAAAAGTGCCTGTAACTTTGTGCATTTCAAAGGCAAAACATTTGCTTTTCAAAGTATCTATAAACTCTTGGCACTATCCTGCCTCCTGGATATGTAACAGTATCCAGAAGGGGAGTGTTTTTTGTCAGAGCAAGGGAAATCACCCTCTACCTTTCCCTGGGTTTAATTGGCAATATTTACATAAAATCTTTCTCCAGCTCTTAACTTTGGCCCCATTTTATCTGGTCAGCTTCCTTGGATCCCTGCTTGTCCATTTTCTCTCCTGCATCCCTCTTTTCCGTCACTCCTCCCTATTATTATACACTGTCTGCCTCACAGTGCTGGCTAATTCTAACACATGATGTCTGCCAATAGATTGGCATATGGATGCCCATGGAACCAATCCTGCAATTAGATTTACATAAGCAGACCCCTGTGCCTGCACAGAGTTTCTGTGAAGTCAGTATGGCTTCTTACTGCCACTAGCGTCTGCCCGTTTGATCTGAGGGCAGGCTCAGAGCTTGGGACTGTTAACCCTGCTGTGAAGGATGTGTTGTATCTTACCTAGATACTTACAGGATAAAAAACCAAAGGACCATTCCACTCAGCAGAGCAAGAATGATGGCTATAGACCCAACGACAACAATCTCAGCTAAGGCTGGCCGGTTTGGGATCACTGTTTCACACAAAGAAAACAGTATCATTGACATGCACAATGAATAGACAAGACAGGAGTATTTCAAAGATGCCAAGCTGTTGGGTCACATGGGGCTTTTTCCTCCTGAATACAATATTTATGCATATGTTTTATAAAAAGAGGATTCCCGAAAGTCATTTGATGCCTGACTTGGTTTGCATTTATAACACCAGACTATTATAGCTTCCATTACAGCATTGCACTGGAGTATTGTGTCCAGTTCTGGGTGTCACATTTTTTGAGAAAGTCCAGAACAGAGCAATACAAATGATTAAATATCCAGAAAACATGATCCATGAGGAAAGACTGAAAAAAGTGGGTTTGTTTAATCTGGAGAAAAGAATACTTGGCGTGGGGGGAGGGGAGAGTATGATAACAGTTTTCAAGTACATAAAAGGTTGTTACAAGCAGGAGGGAGAAAAATTGTTCTCCTTGGCCTCTGATGATAGGACAAGAAGCAATGAACTTAAACTGCAGCAAGGGAGGTTTAGGTTGGAAATTAGGAAAAACTTCCTAAGGGTATGTCTACACTACAAAGTTAATTCGAACTAACAGTTGTTAGTTCAAATTAACTTTAATAGGAGCTACACATACAAACCGCTAGTTCAAATTTAAATCCAACTAGCGGAGTGCGTAATTCGAACTAGGCAAACCTCATTCTACGAGGAGTAATGCCTAGTACGAATTAAGTAGTTCAAATTAAGGGCTGTGTAGCCACTTAATTCGAACTAGTGGGAGGCTAGCCCTCCCCAGCTTGCCCTGGTGGCCACCCTGGGCCAAACCAGAGAAACTCTTCTGCCTCCCTCCTGGCCCCGGAGCCCTTAAAGGGGCACATTCTGGCTACAGTGCTTGTGCCAATTGCAAGCCTGCCAGCACCAAGCCAGCAGACCCTGCACCTGACACGTCATGAGCCAGCCACCCGCTGCCACCCAGCCCTCCGCCTCTTCCCAGGACCAGGCTGGCGGCTCCC